CACAGCATGCTCCTGGAAAAGCTGGCAGCCCACGGCTTGGACAGGGGCACTGTGCTGGGTTAGGAACTGGCTGGAGGGCCGGGCCCAGAGAGTGGCGTTGAACGGTGCTGCATCCAGTTGGCAGCCGGTCACTAGTGGTGTCCCCCAGGGATCAGTGTTGGGCCCAGTTCTGTTTAATATCTTCATCGATGATTTAGATGAGGGGATCAAGTGTACCATTAGCAAATTTGCAGATGACACCAAGTTGGGGGGGAGTGTCGATCAGCTGGAAGGCAGTTGGGCTGATTCCAATGGAATGAGATTCAACAAGGCCAAGTGCTGGGTCCTGCACTTTGGCCACAACAACCCCATGCAGAGCTACAGGCTGGGCACAGAGTGGCTGGAGAGCAGCCAGGCAGAGAGGGAACTGGGAGTTTGGATTGACAGGAAGCTGAACATGAGCCAGCAGTGTGCCCAGGTGGCCAAGAAGGCCAATGGCATCCTGGCCTGGATCAGGAACAGTGTGGCCAGCAGGACCAGGGAAGTGATTCTTGCCCTGTACTCAGCGCTGGTGAGGCCACACCTTGAGTACTGTGACCAGTTCTGGGCCCCTCAGTTCAGGAAGGATATTGAGGTGCTGGAGCAGGTCCAGAGAAGAGCAACAAGGCTGGTGAAGGGACTGGAGCACAGGTCCTGTGAGGAGAGGCTGAGGGAGCTGGGGTTTTCAGCCTGGAGAAGAGGAGGCTCAGGGGAGACCTCATCACTCTGTACAACTCCCTGAAAGGAGGTTGTAGCCAGGTGAGGGTTGGTCTCTTCTCCCTGGCAGCTATTAGTAAGACAAGAGGGCTTAAGGTCTGTCAGGAAAGGTTAGGCTGGATATTAGGAAGAAATTCTTTACAGAGAGGGTAATCAGGCACTGGAATGGGCTGCCCAGGGGAGTGGTGGACTCTCTGTCCCTGGAGGTTTTTAAGATGAGACTCGATGTGACACTTAGTGCCATGGTCTAGTAACTGCGGTGGTGTTGGATCAAGGGTTGGACTTGATGATCTAAGAGGTCCCTTCCAACCCAGCTGATTCTATGATTCTATCCCATCCCACACCTCCTCCCATGCTGGCTCTCTCTCACCCTGTGCTGCCTCACCCCACATCCTGTCCCCCACTGCACCCTGACACCGCACTGTCCCACAGGGACCACTGGGGCACCAAGACCAAATGAGAGGGTGGCACTCACGTCAAGGACAGAGGCCAGCTGCCTGGCCTGACTTGCCAGCTCCTTCAGCTGCACGTTCCTCTCCTGCAGTGTTGCCAGCTCCTCCTGCCTCTGTATGAGAGTCTCCTGCAGCTGTGAAGGACAAATGTGGATGGGGTGGTTGGGACAGCTCCACTGCCCTGGTGCCAGGGGTTGCTGCACACCAGGGCCATGCAGTTGCCTCAGCAGGATGCAATGGAGAGAAAAGCAGTGCAAGCCAGGGAGGGCTTGGGTGTCCCTACCTGGCTGTTTGCCTCCATGGCATCTCCCAGTGCTTTCTGGTGCTGGTCTGCCTGGTCCCTCCAGCTCAGCTCAGGGGAAGGCAGGCACTGCGGGGGCGCCTGTGCCAGCATGCTGCTCTCCAGCTGCAGGGTACAGGGCCCAAGGGTCACCTCCTCACCAAGAGGGAAATTAAAGTCAGTGCAGTCCAGTGGTGGTGGCATTAAGGTGGGTGCATCTGGAGGGAACAGCCACAGTTATTAAGACGCAGAACGCATTCATGTCCTCAGTTCCCACCAACCCCAGCACACCATTCTTCTAAGCATCTCTCCGGTATGTCCTTGTCAGAGACTGAAACAGTTGATTCTAAGATCACTAAAAGACCTTTGCAAACTGAAGCAAAAGAAGCAGCTTCTCACCCAGCAAAGACCCAACCCCCACCTCTGAATACTGCAAAAGTGATACCAATGTCCAGCTATCCTGAGTGCAGATGCCTGCCTGAGGAAGAGAAGAGGCTAGGAAGAGGCAAGTCCTGAAAGGGGGGGAGGTACAAGGTGGTCTGACCTGAGCTGGAAGTGCGTAACTCATAACATTTTCAAGTTTGGTGGGGAGCTTCCCCCAGCCCCAACGGATCGAGACCATCACTTCAACTAACAGATATGGAAGCTGCAACTACCAAGTTTCATTGCTGGATCCCATGGGCCATGACTATATATATATATATATATATATATATATATATATATATATATATCTTTCCACCTTTTTCCTTTCTCTCCCTTATGCATTTCCTTAAGTGTTATTCTTATGCTCTAAGGATTACTATATTGCTATAGATGATATTGCTGTAGATGCCTTAATATTGCTATGTTTTCATAATAGTGCTATATTGCTATGATCTAATATTGCTATGTTTTAATAGTGTCATATTGCTACGCTCTAATGTTGCTTTATTGCTACAGATGCAAACACCCCAAATGGCAACATACCTGTTTACCTTTTGAAACGAAATTGTTCCAAAATAAACCCTACACATATGCTGATTATTCAGTGGCATTTCACTCTAATCCACCCCAAGGGATTTATTAATAAGAACTTGGGTTACCCTCCCTTTTCTGAGGTGGGTCGCAACTATCTTGAAATGCTTTTACTCTACTGTGACAGCTATGCCCCTACAGCTATTTGGATTTGTCTCGCATGGGAGATAGCCCAGTGACAGCCCAGATCCCTCCAAGGGGGTGAGCAGGAATGCACTGCCTTACAGACTGTGCCATGGTGGAACAAACATGCAGTGAGTCGGCACCCAAAATTCCAAAAGGAAAGCAGAAAAAGAGGAGAGGGAATGTAGCATGACTACAGATGTGCACACAAAGGTACATTTGGTTCAGGTAAGGAAAAATATGTACTTGCCAGATACAAAATCATCCACAGCATCTCTGAACTCCTGGAAATTAAACTCCGTCCCATCCTGGAAGCAGGGACTCTAGGAGGGGTGAAGGAAATGATCCAGTCAGCAGGGCCCAGGGCTCAGACCTGCCCATGCTGCCCACTGCTGCCCACTACTGTTTCAGCAGCTGCCTGTGTTCAGCATTTTCCCTCAGTGCTGGCACTATCTCCTGCTTTGCCCTTGCCAATAACCCATCTAACACATGGAACAAGGTGCTGTCCTCATCTGTGCCCATTCCACAGGTGGGAAACCTGAGGTCAGGGGAGCTGCCAGCACCCATTGGGTTGAAGGGGCCACCCCTCAAGGTGCCAGGTGAGGCCAAGCCTGCCTCAAACAGTGGGGTTTACCTGCTGCAGGGTCACTGGGCCAGCTGGGGTGGTGGGAAGGATGGGGGTACAGGCTGCCAAATCCTGCCAGTCGATGGTGCTGAGCACTGGGGACAGTCAGAGACAGAGGTAAGTAGTGCAGGCGCAGCCAGGGGGGCATGGCGGAGTGATGAGCGCATGCTGGGGGCCATTCTCGATGGGTACGGCTAGGGGATGCAGGGCTGGGGAACGTGGTGGGATGCACCAGGGGGGAATACAGCGGCGGTCATGAAGAGGGGACGTGGCAGGAAGGACACGGTGAAGGGCAAGGTGGAGGTGTCACTGACGGGGGCTGCAGGGCTAGGCAGCACAGTGAGGGGCACCAAGGTGGCGCGGTAGGAGGCACGGGGAGGGGTTCACGGCTGGGGCGTCAGGGCTGTCCGCCGCAGACTCACCGAGGGCGGGTGCGACGGGGACCGGCGGGGCAACGCTGCGGCGCTGACGGGGCGGGGGCGCTCGGGGACTCGGGGCAGCCGGGGGGATCCACGCCGTCCCCCCTCCGGGCCGGGCCGGCTTCTTAGAGTGGCGAGCGGGCGGGCACTGGACCCTGTTGGGGCATATGCTGCCGAAGGCTCGGCGGCGGCCGCCCTGCTCCATGCTGCCGCCGCGGCCCCCGACCCGACCTCGGCTCCAGCTCCAGCCCTGCTGGCTGCCCCGGCCCCGCCGGGCGCACTCCGCCCCGCGTCCCGCTCGGCACCGCCCCGCGGACAGGGGCGCGGGGAGCCGGGGCCATGCCGGGAGTGCCAGCCCGCCTTCCCTCCTCCGGGGCGCCGAAACCTCCCGCCGTCGCCCTGGGCCGCGCCGGCGGCTCCCGCGCCCGCGGAGCCCTTCCCCGCGCCCGCGGAGCCGGGGCGGTCAGAGCGGGCCGCCCCGCAGGGAAACTCGAGCAGAGCTGCTGCCGGCCCCACCACCCCGCCCGCCCACAGGCATCACCGTCCCCCGCCCACCCCTGCGGATCCCTGTCGGGTAGCGTGTGGACGTCGACTTGTGGACTGGACTGGGTTTATAATGATGTTTGTTAAATGTCGTTACAGGGGTAGAGACAGTCAGCGCTGAAAGCAGGGGTCGGGGGGGGGGATGGGGGGCGGAAAGGAACAGGAAAAAAAAGAAACCAGCCCGCGGCATCTTCAACGTACCAAGCAGCCCAGCAGGAGAGAGTACCCCCGCACCGCAGAGGGTCCCCCTGGCTGAAATAATCTACGGGGCTAGCAGAGGATGACCTGCCCGTTATTCCGTTGTGGTGGGCTTGTCGACATTTTCTGTAGCAGCAGAGTTTCTGTAGCAAGCAGACAGGTTTTGCTCCTTCTGCCTCAACACCTGACGGCAGGCGGCGCTTGGAGCACAACCCAGTGTGCGGGTCCCCCGTGCCCTGAAAGGTGAGCACTCCCGAGGGTAGCTTTAAGTTTGTGTGTGCTCTTTTAACATCGCTTCTGTGCACAGATACAAATGAAGAAAATGAAGTATTTTACAACATTATGGCTGTGTTCTGCCCTTGAATGTTTTCTGTGCTACAGTGCCAACTCGGATAGGAGCACGCACCTGGGTTACAGCCCTGATAGAAAACTAAAAACCAGCTGCTTTTTTATTCCACACTTCGTTTTCCTACACTTATGTCAGTGCATCTACTTTTCTTTTTTATTTTTCCTTGGGCCACGACCAAGCTAGCGCATGCCAGTTTGAAACGGGGAATGTCACTTTCGGGCATCATTATTTTGTGGGGGCTGGAGTTAACTGCCGGGGAGAACTCGTTCTGTGCCAATGCGTTTCCTCTCCCAGCTGTGTTTGCACACTGCCAGCAAATAAACGAGTAGAGGTAACAAGTATAAAAGAGTTTATTCAACATTCAGTGTGTCCTTTCACCGTTATCTTCATGGATCATCCTCCAAATAAATAACACAGTACGTGAGATTCAGTATATTATTTACATGCTGGATTTAAAACCAACCGAAACAAACAGCACAGGGACAGTACAGCTGACACGATATATAACATCATTTGCAAAACGTCAGCTAATTTTCAAACTCAAGTGACACTAAGGTTTAGAGGATCAGGCTCTGCACCGACTGTACGGAGCACAGACGGCAAAGCCAGAGCGGAGTCAGCGCCCAGCGCCGCGGACGCGGACAGTTACGAGGGCTGGCGCGGCCGCCACTCGCCGTCAGCCGTCACGCCCCAGCCAGTGGCACTTCTGGGCCACCTCCGGGGGAAGGAGGAGCGGCAGGGACCGCCCGTTCAGAGACACTAGGAGCTGTAACTGGTCCATGCAGTCCCGCAGGGTCTCCTCCGGGTAGCCGCTGACTCGCAGGTCCAGAGGGCTGCGGTGTCGCAGCAGCCGGTCCGCCAGGCCCAGGCTGCCGGCGGCCAGCAGGGACGGCGCGTATTTGGTGAAGGCGTAGTCGGCCAGGCTGAGCTCCGCGACGCTCCCCGCCAGGCTCCGGGCGTCCGCCGCCTCCGCCGCGTCGGCCCCCCGCGCCTCTAGCCGCACCTGGCTGAAGTGCTCCAGGAAGAAGCTGACGGTGGGCGCCGCCAGGTCGAAGCCCAGGCGGTGCAAGACGATGCACTCCAAGTTGCGGAGCTGCTGGCGGGTAAAGGCGCCGCAGCAAAGGGCGAGGAGCTCCTTCACGCTGGGAGGGTGCACTTCCACCTGCGAGCGGGGACAGGGGTGGGGAGACCGCCGCCGGAGAGCAGCGCGGGGGAGCGGGCGCGGAGCCCTGCCCGGCTGGGGCTGAGCTCGGAGCCGCCGGAGCCGCTTGAGCTTCAGAGACCCCGGAGGGCTGCAGAGACCCTGGCAGCGGGGCAGCCAGACCCCGGGGCCGCCCTACCTGCTTGGAGGCGATGAGCAGCGCCGTTACCCCTAGGAGCTGGAAGCAGTCGGCGGCCACGGGGGTGGTGGCGAGGAAGCGGTCGAGGATGTTGACGGCCAGGCAGAGGGCCTCGAAGGAGAGCCCGAAGTGCCGGTGCACGGGGATGAGCCAGCTGACCAGCTTGCAGCGCGCTTCCGCCGTCACCTGCGGCACCGGCAGCGGGGTCAGATGGGACCAACCCGGGGCTCCTCCGCCCACTCCCCGCCTCCGGCCCCGCTGCCCCCACCTGCGGCTGCCGGGCCAGCGGCTCCTGCGGCTGGAAGCGGCTCTCCAGCCTCTTGTGGGAGCGGTACCAGCTCTCTCCATAGTCACGGAAAGCCTGCAGCTCCTGCGGGCTGTCCCCCACGGCCCCCGCCGCCGTCTCCGGGCGCCGCCGCCGTGACGGGCGGCGCGGGCAGCGCCCGGGGGAGCCGCCCGGCCCCCGTCGCTCCGGGGTGCCGATGCCGCTACCGCACCGCCCGCTCGCCGCCGTCACCATGGGGCGGGCGGCCGTGCCAGCCCCGCTCCGGGCGCGGACGCGGCTATTTGAGCGGCGGGGAGGTCACCGCCCGCCCCCCGGGCACCCCGCCCCGCCCTCTGCCGGGCACCGCAAGGACCGCCGCCTCTAAAACAAAATCCGAGTCACCCAAACACCAGTCTCTGCCGCTTGCCATCGGGCCAGACGGCTGCGGTGGAGTCGCCGTTGGTCTGCGACCTCCCGACCACGGCCGCTCTCTCGGGCAGGGCACGGAGAGCAAACTGGGCAGCAGTGCCATAAAACCACGGCAGCTGAAGCTGCCATGGCTTCTATTTTGACACTACTAAATCAGGTTTCTCTACAGTTTTAACAGCTAGACTGCTCTGCATAAGTAACACTTTCATTTGAAATAAGTGGGAAACAGCACAAACACACCACAGGAAATACCTGGGAACGAAGGAGATCTCTGGGCTGTCTGGATCTTGATTACACTTCCATCTATGGACTATTTATGCAGTGGAGCATTATTGTAAATAGCTGAATGCAGGGAAATTAAAATACTCCTGCACTCCAACCACCTGTTTGCAGTCTGCTATAAATGTGGAAAGACTTGCAGAAAGAAAAAGAAAACCTCTCCTAGGTCAAGCACTGGGAAAGATGTCATTGGGAAACAAGAGCTTCAAGCAACCCACACGACCCAGGAACAAAAGAGGGGAGTAGGGGGGTGTCATGTGTTGAGATTGGCCCTCCTGAGAGTCAGGGGACCCAGAGGTGATTGGGTGCCAGGGCAGTGTTCCCTGGACGGCCAATCATCGCTCGTCTTGTTCGCTGCTGCTGAAAAATCATATATACACAACCACCAGAAGCTGTTGGCAATTCTGTCTGTGTCTGCTGCTGTGTGTGGGTGGAGAAGGCCAGGGGGTGGCTGGGCTTCCTTCTTTCCCCCCTCTGGGGGGAGAAGGGGAGCCCTGTGGCCCCCCAACTCTGCCTAGGCCAGAGTTGGAGGCAGCATTGGAGTAAGTGTGTTTGTTGTGAGGAGAGAGACTCACAACCTTTGAGGTAAGTGGGAGAGAGAGAAGGCAGGCCTTGCAGCCAAGCCCTCTTCTTCCCCCCCTCCCCCTTTTTGCAGTTAGGCTGTAGAGGGGGGTTTTTTATTTCCCTCTCACCATGAGTGGAGGAGAGGCTCAGCATTGAAGCAGAGCCAAGTGGATGGGCTGATAACGAAAGCAGCTCGGTGCCAGGGAGAAGAAGCCCAGGCAAAACTGGAGACGGACTGGAGAAAGGCCTGGAGGATGTCTTTGCCATGATCTAAACGGACAGCCAAAAACTCAGAGGAATCAACATTCCAGGACGCGTACATTGATAAGCTGACTGAACTACAGCAGCCTACAGAAACGAGGTATGAGATTTTAGAGATCACACAGCAGAAATGACACAGAACCAAAGAGAAAGGACTCAAAGCTATCTTCTTGGACTTCGTGAGGAGAAAGGACTTCAGCAACCAGCTGGAGGTTGGTGAGGGAGTGTTTCAGGTTCCCGAACACTCCCACGAGAGAGAGACTGCGTTGCCTATCAGCCTTGGAAGGCTTTTCCTGGACTAAAGTTAAAAGGAGAAGCTTTGAAGGGACTAATAGAAGTGTAATATATATATATATATAGTTGCTTTTAGCTTGTATAGTATTTATTTGTGTAAATAAAATGTATATATGCTTCCCCCTTCCCCTATAGAAGCCTCTGGCCTGAAAGTTTTCTCTTCAGTGTTGGGATGAATTGTGGGAAGGGGTGGGGGAAGCCTGGAAATTGGATTTCTAATGTGGCTCAAACTGCCACAGGGGAATTCTACAACTTCAATAGCAGGAGCAGGAACTCCTCTCCAACATGAAGACAGAGACCAGGAGGACATGCTGCCTTTAAAAAAACCTCTGAAGATGCCTGTTGAGACTATGGTGACAAAGATCCATACCTACTGACCACTCTTGTGTCTGACAAATGCTTTAAGAGAAACAACATAACAGTGTTAACAGAAGTCTTTATTAAATAAATCAAGCAAAAGAGAAAGTTCATCCAGCCAAAAGAGCACAGGCCCAAAAGTTGCTCATGTATACTGCAGAAGTAGAAAGCCACCATAGTATTTGTTTGTTTGTTTTAAGATAACTGTGCTTAAATCACCACAGTGTGATTTCCTTAATCTGTTTTGCAGAAAACTGTTGCTCACTCAGAAGACCGTGGAATTTCCTATTTATTACAAAATATCCCCTTATTTTAGTTCATCAGGGCATGCTAGAGGAACACAAAGAATAACTGAATTTCAACATTACTATCCATACATAGGAAAAAAGCTCTCTGTTCATCACAGTTGAATAAGGGAGAACTCAAGGACAATTCACACTTTCCTAGGATTTAGCAATTTAAGACCAACAACTGATATGCAAAATTCAAATCCAAAAGGAAGAGGAGCTTGTTAGTTACTGAATTACTGAAATATTTTTTCTAGTTCATGTTTCCAAAGGACACAAATAAAAGATCTCAAGTGAAACAAAACATACGAAATTATCAGAGTGCAGATTTAGTTCATATCTTCAGTGAATATAGTTTGCAGGTTTTTATTTCAATGTGTGGGAATACAGAAAGTAAAAATAAGGTCTTAAGATCAAAACTTAACTGTTTAAATGCTTCCTTGCCTAAATGTGTTAAAAAACAATCCAGAACCCAGTTTCTGTCTCATCTATGAAACCAAGACTACCACTAGTTTATCACAACGCATAAATGAATAACAGATGTGATCACTTTTCCTTCAAAGTTCTTAATAAATTCCTATTACAACTTGTCTCTTCCTGAACTAAGTATAGGGTAACATCCACAAGCTGGTCTATTTTCAGCTTATGTTTCTCTCAGCACAGCAATACCAGTTGTGCTGTGATAACCTAACTGGATAGGCTCCATGTATTTTGCATTTTTATGCAAAATAGTGTCCTTTCTGGACACTATTAACTTCTGCTGTACAAAATCTTTATTTTTCAGATTAAACAGAAGTTGTCATCTACACTGTTCCTCTGTCTGTACATACAGTTCCTACTTGACTGCAATTATTCAATTGCAAACCTTCCCCACCAATACATTCGTCATTCTTGAAAGCAGAATTGGTGATCTAAAATTGCGCTTCATAATTGCAAATAGTGTGGACAGGCAGAATGTAAGAGCATCTGGTTCCTTAAGCTATCTGGTTAAGGATTTTTCAGTATCAAAAAAATAAGAAACAAAGGATCGCTATCACAGGATACAATCACTGTGAGCAGGTGGTAAGAGAGAACAGTGAAGACCAGAAGGTGTCTGCCACTGAAAGTTTCCACCAGGAACTGCTCTGATAGAGCATTCAAAAGGGGTAACCCGAACTTTGATCAATAAAGGGGGAAAAAAACATGCTCATCATTTGAAGGGGGCTTGCAACACTGTGAAAACCTTAACATACAGAAGGGGCAGCAAAACATATTGCAATTGCAGGGAGAGACAAGGATCAGGGAGGGACAACTGTGAGAAGAGGCACATCCTCTGTTTGGGATGGGCTGCTGGTTAGTACACTTGTCTAGCTGAGCACCTGTTCACAGCAGTCCATATTATCATCTTACAGAGCATTTTCCTAATGTAAATCATACAGAAAAATTAAGACATCTATAAGATGTATTGGTTCAATACTGTAAATTCATATTTTAAAAAAACATTTACCACTTAGGAAACCCACATAAGAAACATTTGTCATCTGTTTGCACATCTCTAATGGAATTCTACTCAACTGAGATACAGTCTTTAGTCATCACTACATACTACATCACCAGTGATGGTATGATTAGCACATTAAGCTGAGAAAGAAAAATCATTCACAGCCATTTCTATATTGAAAAGAAACTGATTGCAGCTATCATTGGTATAGTCAGACAAATGGCACCAAATGTATTATAAATCCTAAACATATCCAATGTTCATCTTTAAAGTCATACAGAGAAAGGTTAATCCTATGCAAAATCCTATGCAAAATCATGCAATCTATCCCCATCATGGCTGGTAGCAACCACACTAAGCATTTAAATGTCAGTTAACGTTGGAGTGCATATTTCCCCCGCCATTACTGAAGCTCTGGTTTGTTACTGATTTCTGGTTTCAGTTACCATTCTCTGTTTTTATCAGTTCTTTGATGATGCGTAAGACCTTGTCATCTGGGAAAGAAAACAAACACAGTGACTGAAAGTGAGCTTTAATACTGATTCCTAAACCCCAAGAAAATCAGAAGTCTAGCTATCAGCAACTTAAAATCTTAACTGTTTTAGGCTAAGCCAGAATCTAAAGCAAAACAGGTGATTACAATTTGCTGAGCAAAAGGACAAACAGTTCCTCCACGGTACATATTTTAAAGTTTATAAAATTACTCAATTAACCGATGGTGGCCATTTCAGTACTTCACAAAAGAGACTGATAAAGTGATGGGTTACCTACAGATACACTAGTACAGGAACTCCCCAACTACTATATTATTCTGAACATGCGGTGTCTATCCCTTAACTTAGACAATTTGCGTAACACTTAGAAATTATCCATGCCTAAGATTGTTCACACACAATCTTAATTCTGCTTTGAGATGCACACCTCACCATTACTACCACCACCCTGAATGTTGCTATCAGGAATATCTTTAAAACAGCAGTTGTGCAGGTCTTTGTAAATCTGGCATGAGCCACACAATATATGCACAGTTAGTAATGACTTTCTGGATGTCTCTCAAGGTAATGGAATAACATTCAAGGTCACACCAACCCCACTGTGTGAGGATGCCATGTGCTAATGATTTCTCAGATTTGCCACAAGGTCCACTTAACAAGCAATAATGTCAGCAATGTAGTAATAAAGTTACCTTCAAGTGACATTTTGGGATTTTCAAGCTTCTTCTTCAAAACAGACTCAATAAGAACTCTCAGCTGTTTGAAAATTACTGCTATCTTTACAGGAGCCTATAAGAACAAAACAGACAAACATTTGCATTATCAGACATTTTATACCAAAATACAGATCAAAAGATTACTTTACATAGAAATAGAAATAGACATAGAAAACATAATGCATATGCATGATTTTAAGCATATGGATAGCATACTTATTAAATGACAGGGCTTACATTATACATTATCTTTAAGCACTAGTTGGTTATAGCATCACAGCCTAAAGAACAGCAGCTTAGAAGAGTAACTCAGAATGTGTTCCCACATATTTCATGATCAACCAGCATACAGGGAAATTATTAATTTACCAATAAGATCCCCAATTAATTACTTACCAACCCAAGATAAAAAAGTACAAATTAAATTTATACCTGAAATAATATAGCTACACATTTCCCTCTTGGGAAGTCTGTCAGGCCTTCCAAGAAAGCAGTCACAAACCTCTCCTAAATCTCACTAGGAATTTTGATACCTAAACCTGAACACTCTTCCAGGAATATTTCTTTTTTTCTCCTCCCTCTCTATTCCACTATTTGTTTTGTTTATATGCTGCCTTTGGTACAGTAAGTAGCTGTTATGGCAGAAGCACAAAATGCAACATATTCTGTTTAGCATGTCAACAGAAAAACAGAAATTCTGAAACACATAATAAGATATGATTGGCCCAGCAAACACTCAAATAGTGTAGCCACCCAGGGATCACAGAAAGAATCTCCAACAAACCCACAAGGGACTCGCTTTTTAAAATCCCCTATTCATGACAACTAGTGAATTCAATTAGATGGCTGCTTACTTGCATCAGCAGAGTGCAATAAATTAAAATGTCTTGTATCTTAAAGTTGTCTTTAAGAGTAACACATGGCCCACAGGAGCACAGAAAATTTTAACCAAGTAGCTGGGAGGGTAGCAACAATCAGTGCTTGCCACTAACAAAATTTACAGAGGATCTTGTCATGTCAATTGTTTTGTCTACAACTCAGTTTTCCCATTTCTAAATAAAACTTTTACACATGGAAAGGAAAAGACCTAATCAAGAAAACCAAACACCCCCACCCCAGGTAAGAAGGTATTTCACAATTTGGATTTTTTTCTTTTCCAAATAGTTTTGTCTGAGTATAGAGCAGTATATAAAGTAGTATATTAAAGGCAAACATGTAGTTACAAGATTATAAGACTGTAAGAAAGGGTAATATAAAACCAGCACACTCCTCTGCTTTCAGTACGACTCAATAAAAAAGGCTTAGTCTACATTTATTTTCAATGCCTTTTCTGAAAGAACAGTTTCTTCATTAAGAGAGAGGAAACTGGTTTGTTGCAAGTCATGTATGACAAGCCTATTCTTCTGAGTGTGATTTACTAAGATTTCATGACATGTATACAAAATTTCCCATAATTTTTGTAAATTCTCCCTCCTTTTCTTTCCTCATGTCCATCTCACATATACAGTGGTCTGAATTAAACTGGTGCATCAACTGTGTAATACAAAAGCCCATGGAACCACAAAATGTAGTTTAGATATCACTCCAATGCACCTGAAAATGGATCCAGCCATCAACTGTCAGGAGACGCTCCCGATGCTGGACTTCTATATCCCCACCAAAAAGCAGAATGGGAAAGGGGGATATTAAAGTAGTCTCTCTCAAATACACTTTAGCATACCTCACCTGCATATAAACAAACACACGCATTAAAAACAGAAACAAAAAATCCCAAACCATGTAACATCTAATAACACCAGATTTAATTGCTACTTTTAAAAGAAAAAAATACACTTTTTTTCCTTTTCAAGATCCAACAAACTCAAGTTATTGCACACAAACAATCAATGGTTATTTGTCCACTGTAGAACACATAAAATAACTCACCTCTAAGCAAGTGACAGGCTTATACACTACCAGGAAATTAGCTAAAGCCATAGTTATCTTGTTAAAGTTCAAATAGAAAGGTAACGTTACCCTACTGATGTTCATAGAAAGAACATCAAAAGTAGTAAAACTACTGAAATAAAAGGCAGGTAAAGCTCTTATGTTATACATTACTCTTGGGAGCAACTGTTTTTTCAGTCTATCTATATTCATATATGCACTTGCATAAATGTGGTAAATACACAGACACGCTGACACACACATAGTTAACTACTATGGGGCTCACCATGCACTGCTTCTGGCTTTGGAGCCTCTCACAGATAAATCAGAAAGAGAGAGGAATGAGTTGCAGTGGAAAGAAAGGAAAGAAAAAGAGTGCACTTCCATACAGAAGTGCAGGTTTTGTTTGTTCCACTGTTCAATAGAGTAACTTACCTACCTTAGCTGTTGTCTTGTCCTTACACTATAAGGTTCTTGGGGACAAGAAATACTTTCAGCTCTCAAAAAAATACTATCACTTCATGTGCATTAAAAAGTCTAGTATTTCCTGCTTCTTTACAGCAAATTTGGGCATTAAGCAACTGCTGACAAAATTTTGCTGTACTGGAAGTGTAACTAAATATAAACACTTGAATTCAGCAAACAGCAGACAAGGAGGAAGAAAGTGACAGGAAAAAAATGAAATTTTTTCAGTCAATTACATAATTGGCTATTTCATTTTATTACTGGAGTATGTGAGTTCAGTACCAAGTGTCAAAATCTTAGAGTCTGCTTTGAACAGTAAAAGAGAAAAGACATTTTGAAGTTTACTACTACACAGGATATTTAAATCAACAGGACTGTATTCAAAAAGGTCAGTGATACTATCAAGTTAAATGATACACATCAAGTTCCTTCCGTTTCTAATTACCAGTTTCACTATGAACAAATTTGTTAATGATCTTCAGCCTTATTTTCTTTCTCTCCAGCACTGCGCCGATTGATTTTTATGGACTTTAGGATCATTAGATAATAAAAGACTCTTTAAGTTAAACAAAACATTCAGTTATTAAATAACATACACTAGTGTACAGTATATTAGAGGCATAACTCTACACAAGGTATCAGCTACATTCACTTATGTTCAACTTACCTTCTCCTGGTAAAGCAGCCATCCATATGTCTGTAAGTCGCGGTTTACAGAGGAGGGATGCACTTGCGCTTTACCCTGAGCAGTTTCTACAGTACAAGCCAGTTTCTCTGTAATATCCACAGACTTCATATATAGTATTTTTCCTACATTGTCATACAGCCCAGCAGTCAACACAGCTTTAAGAAGAGCTATTTCACTGAGAGAAAGGGATTGTGTGACTCCATTTGCATCCCATCCACATTGTGTTGTAGGTGCTGTGAACCCTGCTGCTCTGACCACCCTTATGAGTTCCTGCTTCACATCCTGAAATTAATAAGGTATTAGTAAAATTTTCAATTAAAAAAGTTATATAGTCCAACAGCAGGCAACGACACTTTGTCTGAATTATTCATGCTCTTCAGGGGAAAATCTCTTACTAGAAAAACCTCTTGTATTTTCTGCAGCTACATGGGAATACTGGCTATTTTTATGAAAAAAACATTATCTATAACATAATCCTGTATCTGGAATATAGGATCAGATATATGGAACTATATATGCTGCAAATACTCAATCTCATATCTGTTTTCAGTTAAAATGAAAAGATACGTTTGCATCAAAGACCCACTTCTGCTTAGAAGTGCTCAGTGACCCAAACTTAAATAGAGAAGATCAATTAAAATGTTTTCTCAGCAAAAATAAAAGTCCATTTACATAAGTTTGTGGCTCATCTTTCAAATTAAGTGTTAATAGAATAGACCTATTGTTTGATTGAAAAAATAATACAATATGAATACTTTAATTCGTAAAGTTTTGATTCCTTGGTGAAAGTAAGGCCTAGCTTCTCCAATGGCAGTGACTGCAAAACTGTATACCGAAGTGTCCACATCAAAACTCAAATACAGACACAGCTACCTCAATTGAGGGTGTGCATTTCTTCTGTACCTAGCATTCCACTTGCTTTTATCTTGTCTAAATAATAACTGTAATAACCTCTTTAAAAGGGAATGACATTTCAGAGGGAAATTTTAACAAATAACTTACAAGTGCAAAGCATAATTATTCAGTTTACCTCCAGAGTTAACAGTGAAGTCCTATTCAGAAAATTTTTTCTGCAGTAAGTCATTTCAGCACGATATCCCCCTTCCTGTCGAGCCCTTTTCCACCTAAGGAAAAAATCCTGTCTTATTACAGCAAGAAGAATCCCATCAAGAGTATAACAATAGAAACAGTAGTAAGTTAAAAAGGAATGATGGTTTTTGGTCAGCATTCTCCACTCTAAAATAAGTTGCACTCATGAAGATGAATGCTGTTGGTCTAAGGGCACTCCAGAGAACATGCCTGTAACATAGACTGGACAAGATACTAACAAAAATACAAGGTGATTTTCACTCAAAAATACACATTCCTTGACAGCTGAAACAAAATTCAGGTGTGATTTTTGAGACTTAGTGACAATACCCTAAAGAGAAAAAAAAAAGTATGTCATTTTATACTTTTGTACTTTACCAAATACAAGATATTCTGGTTAGAATACCACAAACAGCAAGCAAAACACTTTACACACTAGGAAAAACTGACACAGTAAACCCCTGTATGTGTGTCAGTAGCGTTAAAATGAGTTAAAGAATAAAATACTAAGCAAGCTATCCTTTTGTGTTACAGTATTTGACAATCTATTGTTATTCTGAAGAGAAATACCTGAAGTGAAGGGAGTTCAAGAGGAGATATTAAGGATTCTTTACATAATGGCATTGCTTAAGTGTTATCTACAAGTCGCTATAAGCACAGAATTATCATTTACCCCAGATAAGCGTTGTAGATTGTTATATGGTCTGAAACTGCCATAGCTAGAGATGATTTTGCAAGATCTGCTTCATCTTTTCGACCAATTGGTGTAGTAAATGGGGATTTTTCTGTCATAACAGCAGCCAGAGTTGCCTGCAATTAGTAAAGTACACATTACTTAACAGTATTTTATTACAACCTTACAGGCTTATAATACAAATGGCTTTAAATTTTCTTTTACTGTTAGCAGAGAATTATAGATCTGTTTAGGTCAGAAGGGACCTTAAAGATTATCTAATTCCAAGCCCCTGACACGGGGGCTTCTACTACACCTTCTACTACACCAGGTTGCTCAAAGTCCCACCCAACCTGGCCTTGAACATGTCTAGGGATGGGACATCCACACCTTCTCTGGGCAACCTGTCCCAGTGCCTTCACCACCTTCACAGTAAAGAATTCCTAGTATCTAACCTAAACCTACCCTCTTTCAGTTTAAAGCCATTCTCTCTTGTTCTGTCACTACATGCCCTTGTAAAAAGTCCCTCGTTAACACTCTTCAGGTACTGAAAGGCTTAGGTCATCCCAAAGCCTTCTCTTCTCCAGGTTTAACAACCCCAAATTTCTTAGCCTTTCCTCACAGGAGAGGTGCTCTATCCCTCTGATCATCATCATGGCCTCCTCTGGTCTTGCTCCAGCAGCTCCACGTCCTTCATATTTTGGGGACCTCAGAGCTCCACATGGGGTCTCATGAGGGCAGAGGGCAGAGCAGACGGGCAGAATCACCTCCCTCAACCTGCTGGCCACCAGCCCAGGATACATCTGGCTTTCTGGGCTGCAAGTGCCCATTGCTGGGTCATGTCCAGCCTCTCATTCACCAGCACCCCCAAGTCCTTCTCAGTAGTGCTGCTCTCAATATCTTCATCCCCCAGACTGGACTGATACTGGTTGTTGCCCCAAACCAGGTACAGCACCTTGAACTTGGCCTTATTGAACCTCATGAGCTTCGCATGCGCTTCTCCAGCTTGTCCAGGTTCCTCTGAATGGCATCCCATCCTTCAGGTGTGTCAATCACACCACTCACTTTGGGGTCATCAGCAAATTTGCTGAGGGTGCACTTGATCCCTTTGTCTACATTAATCAAGATATTAAATAATGCTGGTCCCACTACGAATATCCATCGATATTCATAGTGGTCACTGATATCCATTGGGACTCAGCTGTTGACTGCTACCCTCTGGACATGACCAGTTTCTTATCCATCTAAACTCCACCCATCAAATCCATCTCTTTACAATTTAAAGAGGATGTTGTGAGGGACTGCATCAAAGGCTTTACAGAAGTCCGGGACATCTGTGGCCCTTCCTTTGCCAACTGATACAGTCACTCCATCATAGAAGGGCACTACATCGGTCAGGCAGAACTTGCCTTTGGTGAAGCTGTGCTGGCTGTCTCGAATCACCTCCCTGTCCTCCATGTCCCTTAGCATATACCTAGGAAGATCTGTTCCACGAGGTGAGGTTGACGGGTCAGTAGTTCTCAGGGTCCTACTTTCCACTCTTTTTTAAAAAAGGTGGGTAAAATGTCCCTAGTGACTTTCTCCAGTCACCAGGAACTTCACCTGACAGCCTATAAACTTTTTGAACATCATGGCAAGTGGTTTGTCAACTACACCAGCCAATTCCCTCACGACTCTGTAATCCACCTCATCAGCTTCCTTACAGTTACATAGATTCAGGTTCCTCAGGTGGTCAGGAACCTGATCCTCTGTAACAGTGGGAGAGACTTTGCTGCCCCAGTCCCCATCTTGCATTCCACCCACTCAAGAAGTGCAGCAAGAGAGGATTGAAAACCAAGGCAAAACCGCTATTGAGTCCCCCAGCCTTCTCCTCATCCATTGTTACCAGCTGGTCAGCCTTGTTCACCAGGAGGGAATGCTTTCTTTGACCTTCTTTTTCTGGCCAACATACCTCTATAAGCACTTCTTGTTCTTCTTTGTGTCCCTTCCAAGTTCAGCTCCAGCTTTGCCTTGGTCTTCCTCACTGCATTCCTACACAAATAGACTGCATCCCTACAGTCTTCTCAGAATACCTGTTCTTGCTTCCACTGCCTGTGCATTTGCCTGTTGCCCTTAAGTTTGACCAGCAGGTCTCAACTCATCCATGCCCATCTATTGTCTTCCCTGCCCTATTTCTTGAGCCTGAGGATCACTAGCTCTTGCACTCTATGCACAAAATGTAATATTTAATGATAGTTTATCTTCTACTAAGTTTCAAGGAAAACTTAGCACTATAAAAATTTCCTACACAGAATTCAGTACTTGCTATATTAAAGCCATCGGTTATATAATGCCTTACATACATGGACAAAAAAATATTAAATCTCAAAACTCACACAAAATGTTTTGCCAAATGACAGAGCAGTACCCGATACAATGAAGACCAAATTAATCAATTGCTTTACGTTATACCACATTAACAGGAAATATTGAGAATTTTAACTTCCACTTTCTAGCAACTAACATACCCATGTTTCCTCCTACTTAAATGGATTAAGTAAAAATGCAAACTATGCTACAGTCTTTATATAATAAATTACCACATCAATTATTTTCAGTAACTTTACATCAGCATGTTCTTGGCCCACAAACTGTTGGGTAATCCAGACTGCCTAACCCATAAATAAGAGGACTTTTTCTATAAGTATTAGACTCCCTGGGATCACCACAGAACTGGAGACCAAGCCTGACTATACCTTGTGAATAGTACTTAGGAGTTTAAAATAATGGAATAATTTTAGGTTGAAGAAGACCTTTAAAATAATTAAGTCCAACCATAAAAAATACTCAGATTATTCCCCTCCGTGATACCTGGCTGCCCTCACCCTAAAATAAACATTCTAATTTCTTGCATCATCTTTTCAAGATACCACATTGCAAAAAATCAGGTTAATTACAAAGAGTTAACAATTTCTACACTTTTTAAAATTTAGATAAAATTTATTTTTACTCACCACAGGATCCAAGCAGCCAAATATAGCACCAAATATAAGCATTTTGCCAATCTTTACATTAACAGGAAGGGCTGCAAGGTGCTGGCCCAGTGGAGTCAGCTTGGGCTCGTTTAGATGACAAGCCCCAATCTTCCTCAATAGATTCATTGCATTACCAATTACTTGCTGCTGTGGTGGGTCTAATGCTCTGGAAAGAAAATCTTCAGGAGAGCCAAGATTGCATTTCTGTGGAGTAAAAGGGTATGTATTTCAATATAAAAACTTATAATAAAAAACTTTTCTAGTAGCTAAAAAAAACCAACAACTGGAAAGCTGTTCCTGCAATCAAAAGCTCACACTCTCTCCCTTCTAAACAAGCCTATTGTTTCCCAGATAGCTGACATGCCCCACACCAGGTTTACAAAACTTGTTTGGACAGACTTCATATGGCACGACCACTGTTCAGAGAAGTGTGTTATTGGTGATCACTGATGAGCAGGACACTCAAACCTGATGGGATACAGTTCAATCTAGCACTAATTCACCAGGTTGCCAGTTTTCCCATGCATATCTTAACTCACTTAAGACATGGAGAGAGGTAATGGAATTGCTCCCTAAAGCAGAAATGCTATTTAACTAAGTTTGAATTTTGACTCTCAGACAAACTGGAATTGTATAGCACACTATTCTCACTGAACAGCATGCTCTGGATTTTCCAGCGCTCAAGTGCTGAGTTATCCCCTGACCTTGTGGGAGAAGCCCCACTGAGTAATTACACTGGATTAGGTCTGTTTTAGCAGACCGTTTTAGCTAATAAGGTCAGCGATTCCAAAACAGACAGCGATTCCAAAACCTTCATACATGAAGGTATGAGGGTACAAAGGCATGGACAGTATTTTTAGCTAGCAAGGTGCCTTGGGCTTCTGTGGACACGTGTGGTAGTTTCAGTCTAGGCCTTCCTTGGTGACCAGTTTGTAACCAAAGAAGTAGCCAGATTACCCGGTATTCTCTACGATTTTTACGTAAGCCAGGGCTATAAAGAAGAAAGGAGGACAGGGCTTTGCTCTCTTCCCTTCCAGTGGCTCTGGAGGTGCGGGTTGCCTGCTGTCGGGTCTGCCGTGTTGGGGAGTGAGGCCTGGTGAGGCCTTGTCGACCTGGGGAGGTGGAGGTTGCTGGCGGTTGTTCCAGCGTGACTTTCTGTTGTCCCAAGGAGAGCAGTAGGATATTCTTTTGCTAATTCTTTAGTTGCTAGATCTTGGGTTATTGATCGTGTATATTTTATTTTGGTTTTGTTCCCTTTTTCTCCCCCCTTCTCTCTCCCTTGGAGTTGTGCATGATATTTCAACTGTATATAGTTGTATATAACGTAAATACATTTATTTTCATATAGGTTTGGCTAGTTTGGATTTTTCATGTTTTTTTTTTCCTTAGCTCTGTGCTGGAGGTATTTTGGTGTTGGGTCTGGGACTTGGTGGGGAGCCAAGTAAAACTTAGACAACATGTTTTGGTAGTAGGAATGACTGTGGGAAGCTGCTAGAAGCTTCCCCCATGTCCAGTGAAGCCAATGCTAGCTGGTTCCAGGACAGACCCACCAGGCCAAAACCATCAGAGACAGGGGTAACACCTCTGGGATAAGTTACCGCACAGAAGCAAACTGCAGCCAGAGAAGGAAAGGGAGGAGGTGCTTCAGCATGCTGCAGCATACAGCCCATGGGGAAGACCGTGGTGAGGAAGGCTGTTCCCCTGCAGCCTGTGGAGGTCCATGGTGGAGCCCATGCCTGAGCAGATGGGTGCCTGAAGGAGGCTGTGACAACATGGCAAAGCCCACACTGGAGCAGCCTCCTGGCAGGACCTGTGGCTTCCCAGAGAGAGGAGCCCACCCTAGAGAAGGTTTGCTGGCCAGATGTATGACCCTGTGGGGGACCCTCATTGGAGCACTTAATGAAAAACTGTAACCTGTGGGAAAGATTCACATTGTAGAAGTTCATTGCAGACTCTCTGCTGTGGGAGGAACCCCAAGCTTAAGCAGGGGAAGGAGTCCTCCCTCTGAGGAGAAAGCTGCAGCAGAAGTAATCTGTGATGAAATGACCGTAACCCCTCTTCCCTGTCCCTCTGCTCTGTTGGAGGGAGGAGGTAGGGAACTGGAAATAAAGTTAAGCCCAGGAAGGAGGGAGGGGTGGGTGGAAAACATTTATAAGATTTGGGTTTTACTTCTCATTATCTTACTCTGACTTGATTGGTTATAAATTCAATTAATTTCCCCAAATTAAGTCTGTTTTGCCTGTAACAGTAACCGGTGAGTGATCTCTCCCTGTCCTTAACTCTGTCTATGAGCCTTTCATTATATATTCTCAGTTGAGAAGGGTAGCAATAGAGAGACTGGTGGGCACCCGGTGTCCAGCCAAGGTCAACCCATCACACAAGGTTAGCAATTACAAAACCAAAATCCATACCATAATATGAAGGCATAATTCCTCCAAAGGCACACGCAGTATTTCTGGAACAGAATATTCCATGAAACTTTCAAACCTGCAATGTCATAAAAACATAGAATCATACATTCAATTTAATATTTGAATTTCACATGGTCATTCTTCATAGATATTCTTTTGAGGCGCATGGCGGGGGAGCAGCACGGGTAAGCTATTCATCCTTTGAATTAAGGCATGTGTCGTAGCTTTGAAAGCAAGAGTTTTAGTCAGAGAGGGAAAGGCAGTAAGACCCCAATTTTCAAACCAGTCTGTAAAATGCATAGCTCTCAAACTGGAAATCCTGTATGAAGCTAAAATGCCCACTTCATTGGTTGTATCACAATACTTTAACTTTAATTATTTCTCAGCTGAAAGTTGCTTCAGACTTTCAAACAAGCAGGAAAAAACGTTATTCACTGTAGTGACAGAAACTAATTCTGCCCCCATATCTTATCCATAGAGACAGAAACCACTTCAGAAACCCACAGATCAGTCTGATAAAAAATTTCAAGTTCAGGAGGTAAGGTTTGCACCTACTGGATGTGAGGCAGTAGGTGCTGTCAAAAGTTGATGTTCCACAATTCCCTGGTGCCATACTTTTCCTTTAATTATAAATATTTTTTTCAAAACACATAATAGAGATACTAAGAATAAAAGAAACCTCTTTTAAAAATGTGAAACAAAAACTACTGTAACACTTTATACATATGATATTCAAATTCTGGTTTTGGTTGGGGTTTTTTTCCAGCTTAATCTTTCCAGTTTGCAGTAATTAAAGTGAATTTCAACAAGAATTCTTGGCTTTGCACAGAAAAAACCCCAAAAGATATCTATGTGATCCACAAAATCTTGTTAAGTTTACCATACCTCTCTCTTGTGTACATTCGGAAGCAGAACCCATCCCTAACACGTCCAGCTCTTCCTTGTCGCTGCAGAGCACTCGCTTTACTAACAAAGGTCTCTTCCAGGGAACTCATCTGACTGCTTTCATGATACCTGAAAAATTCAAAATCAAAGAACCTTGAATATAACTTACAAATGAAAGTGTAAAGACTGGGAAGTGAAAGAGCTTTTTTATTATTTTATCTCCCTGGCAATTCAGAATTGTTCCAACACATTGTGTAGAAACTGAGACAGTATAAAAAGGATCGCCTTAATTTTTAAATCAGTACTTAATCACGATTCTCCACATCTATGAACAACTTCTCTTGTTGTTCAAATCATTTGAAAATCCAAACTTGTACCTAAATTGCAAGCTGTTCAATGAGCTCAGCACATTTTTGCATCCAGAACTGTGGTTTAATAAGGATATTACAAAATTTTTGCAGTACTAACCACCAAATATCTACAGTAATCACAGCATGATTGATGCAAATCAAACTCTCACCTATTTTCCTTTGTTCTCCCAGTATCAATTACAAAGACAACATCTGGTATTGTAATACCCGTCTCTGCTATATTGGTTGCCAAAACAATCTGGAAAAAGTATCATAAAAACTGTTAGACATTCCATAATTCTTCTATTTATGTTATCTTTTAAATTACTATTTCAGAGTAAATTTTTCAGGTTAAAATCTTTTACCCAGAAGTGTTTCCCTAAATAATCTGACAAATAAATAAATGCTACATAACTTAGAAAATGGTCTGGTTTTCCCCAGTTACTGAGGAATTAAAAGTTAAGTAAGAATTTCACATTCACCTTTTGTTTTATAATCCATTAAAATTACTGGCTGGTATCTTCTAAAATTGATCAACATTTAATTAAATAGTTTGGCAGTAAATAAAATACTATTTTCCTAGATAAAAGCTATAGTTACCGGTTAACAACAGTTAAAATACAGGAAAGCAACAACTAAAGATGTTAATAGAAAAATATCAGGTTTAAAAATTTGTCTGATTACTGTCCAGGTTTTTACACCATATTATCTTCTATCCATTACAGACCACCAAATTAGAATTGTTTCTTTTAAGTGACAAAATTCTGGGGTCAACTGGTTGTTGCATAATTCTGTATGATTAGATTTTATAACAATTCAGAATTGCAACCACAGCAAGTTTCTCCTTTTGTTGGTGAACTTTCTAAATACATCATACCTTTCTAATACCAAGAGGAGGTATTGTAAATGCAGCTGCTTGATCTTGAGTTGAAACAACAGAATGCAAAGCTACTAATCTGTGCCTAGAACAAGAAATTACAGTAATCAATACACACTTATCAAATAAGATACAGTAAAAAAATAAGACCAGCATGATGACAGTAGCTTGGAGAAAGCAACTAGAATGGACATTAAAGAGTAAAACTTCGTATGATTAGGTATGAAAGTCTGCCTCACTGTATTATTACAATACAAAATAAAAATAACATCATTAGTTCACAGGGCTGTTCTATTCAGTAAAAACACAGGAAAAATACTACTACTGCAAAACTCTAGGTTAATTTACATCAACAGCCTAGCAAAAAAGGGAACTAGGTGTCCATGAACTCAAGCTCTTTACATTGTGCTTCCAAGACAAGGACCACTATTGATACTTTGCACAGATCTATAAACACATGCAACTTTCAGATTGAGTAATAAAGGCCTTCAGGGATAAGACAGCCACAGAGATTTGTACTTTCCTTCTCTTCCAGACCTTAACATCTCAGTCCATCTATGAATCTTTGGCATTTGACTGCAAATGTTCTTTTCATGCCGTTGTCTTAACTTTTAGTTACCCACAATATAAATTTCAAAACTATCTGTCATTACAGTCCTAGGCCATTTCTCTTGGTAGATTACTGTCTCTGGAGCTCTTCGCAGGAAGCAGTCACTTCCCAGTAAGCCACAGAAATCTATATCCCAGGTATGGCAGCTTCCACACCCTAAGTGGAAAAGAAGTAGTCAAGTGCTTTGTGATTAGGTTTGTTGAAAAATATAATAAAAAAATAAAGTTACTACTGTACCATTCCTAAGCATCTGTCATTTTTGCTTGTATAACTTTTAGATAATAAAAGGACATTTGTAGCACAAACAGCTCAAAGGTATAACTCCCAGTTTCCTTTTTCGAGAATAGCAAACATTGAATATATTTCTTGTGTTGTAAGTTAAACTACTAATTCCATAGAAAATCTGTATTACCTGTCACGCAAGTTAAATCTTCTGTCAGTTGAAATGAGATCATACAGCTGTTGGATATGGGCAAGGCCTGGTAAAAAGATCAGCACAGCACCCTCGATGTTCTTGAACTGGGGACTTCTGTCTAGAAAGTTACAGTACATGCATATAGTTAAAACAAACATGCATTTGCAAACAGTTTCACATGACAACAAGAACTAATGCTAGACTCTGCAGGCAATGCTTTTTAGGATGTTTCACCTAAGAATGAGTTCAAATACTTCATTATCAGTAGAAAGTACTCAAAAATAAGCCCACAGGACAACCCCAACTACACAAACTTCTTAAGAATTAGATTGTACCTAAGTATGAAAGCAACTCCAAAACAAGTTCAAGGTTGATCTTGTAAGGGTTCATATACAAGATAGCCTGCTGTGTATGACTGCTATACTTCGCATAGTAAGGAGCCAAATCAATACCAGATCCAGACTGGACTGGGACATATTCCTAAAAGACAAAAGCAGGCAAAGAAGATAATATTCTTAGTGTTTTAGAAGAATGTAAGAGAGCAGAAGACCAATTTGCTATTCACTTAAAATAGACATTGATGTAAGAGACATTTAACTAACTACCCACAAAACCCAATGCAAGTTAGATTAAATCACACCCACTTATATAATGTGCATAGGTATACGCTGTTATATGACATTCCAATTAAAAAAACAAAGTAAAAATTAAAGTCTGTCCAAAAAATAAACAGTTTTCAGGTCCATATCTGGCATTTGTTTGGTATCAATTCAAACTGAGGTAGGATGTCCACTTTTCTTCCTAAACTCTTCCTTTGGGGTACAAGAAACCAGTTTCCCCTCTCTCCTCTCCCTCACTTGACTGTTCTCTAATGGTTGCAATGAATTAGGTGGCAACTCCTGCAGTGTTCTGGAGCCGGAGAGAGTTACAAGATGAGACATACATTTAAATTTACTGTTTAATTGTTTATAGACATCTTACATACATAGCATAAAGTTTCTATGTTAAGTGCCACTGTTGTATTGGGTTTGTGTGGTCAGGTTTTGGTAGCAGGGGGACTACAAGGGTGGGTTCTGTGAGAAGCTGCCAGAAGCTATGCCCATATTGGGTACAGCCAATGCCAGCTGGCTCCAAGACAGACTCACCTCTGGCCAAGGCCAAGCCAATCAGGTATGATAGTAATGCCTCTGTGATAACATATTTAAGAAGGGGGAAAAAAAGTTATTGTGCAGATGAAATTGCGGTCAGAGAAGAGTGGAGTGAGAACACGCGAACAACTCTGCAGACACCAAGGTCAGTGGAGAAGGAGGGGAAGGAGGTGCTTCAGCCACTAGAGCTGAGGTTCCCCTGCAGCCCGTGGTGCAGACCATGGTGAGGCAGCTGTACCCCTGCAGCCCATGGAGGTCAACAGGGGTGTAGAGATCCACCTGCAGCCCATGGAGGAGACTCATGCTAGAGCAGGAGGATGCCTGAAGGAAGCTGTGATCCCATGCAAAGCCCATGTTGGAGCAGCTCGTGGCAGGGACCTGCTGACCCATGGAGAGAGAAGCCCATGCTGGAGTAGGTTTCCCTAGTAGGACTGGTAGCCTGTGTCTGAAAGACTGTGCCCATGGAAAAGTGACCCATGTTGCAGCAGTTTGTGAAGAACTATTGCCTGAGGGATGGACTCACATTGGAGAAGTTCACAAAGGACTGTCTCCCATGGGAGGGATCCCATGGTGGAGCAGGGGAGGGACTCCTCTCTCTGAGCAGCCGCAGAAACAACCTGTGATGAACTGACCATAACCACCATTTCATATCTCCCTGTGCTGCTGGGGAGAGGGGAGGAAACAGAACTTGGGAAGGAGGCTGGGGTGGGCAGAAGGTGTTTTTAAGATTTATTTTACTTCTCATTAGCCTGCTCTGATTCTGTTAATAATAAATTTAATTAAGATCCCCACTTCAAGTCTGTTTTGCCTGTGAAGACATTGGTGACCGATCTCTTCCGGTCCTTATCTCAGCTCACGAACCCTATGTTATATTTGCTCTCCTCTGCTGAGCTGCAGAGCAGAGTGACAGAGCAGCTTTGGTGGGTATGAGGCATCCAGCCAGTGTCAACCCTCTACAATTTTAAATTACTTCATTGTTAATACACTTAAAGAAGCTTGACACTGCATATCTTTCTGTACTGAAGCATCAATCGAAACAAACCACAAAGGTGGAGTAGCACTCATGAGAGTGCTTGGGCTTACAACTAAAGGATGCTGTTGTGATGTACGGGGTTACTACCATTCTAGGACAGGAAAAAAACCCAAACAATCAGCAGAGCACACGAGAGTGTATTTTTCAACATATGCATCACCGTTTGTTCACACCAAGCTAAATAGTCCTGCAGAAATTTTGATAAAGCAAGTCAGAGTATAGTTTAGATGAACAGCCTAAGCTGCCACAATCAGATAGTATTGATATAGTCTCCCCTTCGAGAATTTTGATTAGGAAGCACATAGAGCTGTCACTGCAGAGTACCTAAGGATTAATCATAATTAAACAAAAAAAGCTCTGTACAACAACCTCATGTAAATCATCTCATTTGGTATGCCAAGTTGGAGCACCTTGGGAGTTTTTCAGCTAAGAAGGATAAGATCCCGACTCTTCTGTTGTTACGTTTGCTACATAGGAGAATTCTTTCAGGAAAAAGAAATGAAATGCTTTCCCTGCTGCTGCTTATAGATCCAGAGCTGGGAATCTGTACAGCAGAACTCAATGTCAAATACAGCAAAATCAAGCCAGCTATACAGGAGATGGAGAGACAATCAAAAGGATGCAGCCTTTATAAATACTTGGTTTCCACTGTAGGAGTGCCATTGTGTATGTGTTTTACCAACTGAAAAATATTTTACATTATACAATCCAATCACACTTGAGGAACCAAAATGATAAAATAATAAAAAAAAGTCAAATTTTCCAAGTCAAAGCTAGAAATACCTATCTTACCTGATGCTTTGTAGTGCCTCCTCCTTTGACAGTAACATTTATTACTACTTCCTCCTCCTCCTCCAAGAACTTCTGACAGTATTCTGAGTCTTTCTCCAGAACATAGCCAGTTGCTTCAATTACATCTTCAACATGGAAAATCTTTGGTGAAAATTTGCAGAAGAAACAAGGCATATCAAAAACTGATCAGCACTTTTTTCATTTTTTAAAGCTTACATAACAAAGGTGAACAGGGCATGCCTTAATGCTGTAACAGATCTTGCAAATTTCAACTTAATCTTTCTTAAGATTTTTGTAAACCTAAACTTAGAGTTGCTACAAGTTTGCTAATGGACTTTTCCATGCGATCACTAACACAAACTTTACCATGGCCTGTATTGCATGCATAACAAAAATACAGAGTCTAATGACAAAGTTGCATAGGGAGCAGGGTGAATTCTTTAATGCTTTCATTTCTGCCTAGGTTGAATAGATAAAAATCAAAATATCAGTGATGGACAGATTTTAATCAATAAATCCATCAGAAAAAAAAACATTACAACCTTATACTTCAAAGCCCTGAAGTCACCTTACATTTCCATAAAAGAAAAAGGGTTACAAGTCCTCAAAAAATGTATTTTAAGACTTGAATTCTTGGTAATAAAAAAGTGATATAGACATATTGCCTACAGATACTAACCAGGCAAGCACTGTGCACATGCATACAAACTGTCTTGCATACCGAAGAGAAACATCTACCTACCTCAACTGGGTAACTCCTCCCCGAAATCCTTAAAATGGGACAATGTGAGAAATAGCTGGAAAACTTCTCACTGTCTGCAGTAGCACTCATTAAAATCACATGCAGGTCTGAGCGCTTATGCAAGATCTCTTTCAGAGTAACTAGCAAGAAATCAGACTGGACACTTCTTTCGTGTACCTAGAATTAGAAAAAACATATCTATAGCAAGGATTTAGTACAGGCAGGGCTCAGAATAACTATAGTTTCTGCGGAATAGTAAAGAATTAATAACCTCATCTACAATAACATGAGATATACTTGAAAGAAGACCATCTTCTTGAAGTTTCCGAAGCAGGACACCTGTTGTACAGTACAGAAGTCTGGTGGCTTCTCCCATTCTTGATTCCATACGAATTTGATATCCACACAGGGAATTCTTAAATAAAATATTAAAAATACCTTAAAATAATATACAAGCTAGCAATATTCAAAATTAAATGAAACTTCATACCTGTCAGATTCAGACACTGCACAAGTTGCTAATTAAGTAGTGTGGTGCACGACTGCCACACTTTCCTACCAGTGCCTCCCTTTGTTACAAAAGGGAAAACACACTAAGCTTATTCAGAGTATCAAAGAGCTGGTAAACTCAGGGTTCTTTTCAGGATTCTTTGCCAGCCTCAAAAATATTTTTGCACAAACAGACCACCATAACAAATAGAGGACTTTGGCTTTCGTCAAGTAACAAAATAACTTCTGTTGGAAGGGAGCCTCTCTCAAAGCAGAGCCTCACTCGAGGCTAGATTGGATTGCTAGGACCCTTATTCTCCATCCCAGGGAGTTTTCTCCATCCCTAGTGATAGTGGTGCAACAGTCTTTGGGCAATCTACTCAACTCTTTGATCACTCTCATTATGAAACACCATTGCTCTACATTAGCCTCTAAAGATTTTAGAAATCATATATGGATACCCAGACGTTCGCAAGTGACAACTTGAAAAGAAACAACTAACATAGCAAGAAGTCCTTTTTGAGCGAAAACAACATCCAATTCTTTAGTTGTGTAAGAAATAATGTTTTCACTTTGTACCAACAATCCAGCCCCCTGTATTTGATCAAGACAAGAAAAAGGAATTCAGACACATCTTACTTTTCCTCCTGGTCCTGATTCGCAGCCTAGCTCTTCACAAACCCTGGTTGCCAGACTCACTGCTGAGATTCTTCGGGGTTGTGTGCAAACAATATTGCATTTTTTTGATCCTTCATCTAGCAACAAGTCTTCCAACAAAAAATGGGGCACCTGGGTACTCTTCCCACTGCCTGTTTCACCAGCCACAACAAGTACTCGATGTTTTTTAAGAGTTTCTATGATTGAGCATCTGTGCTTAAACACAGGTAACTCTTGTCTCTCTTTCAGAAGCTTCTCATATTTAGAGGACCTTTGCAGCTTTTTGAACAAAATCCTTGAAGGTTCCAAACTATCTGCATCTGAGGTCTCAAGGGAGAGACTGCTGAAGTCCTCATCAGAAACTAAGTTTTCCCAGGAATCTTCAGGACCCTCAGATACTTTAGGCTGGTCTTCAGACTGTAGCTGCTGTTGTTTTTTGAGTTTGTTTAATAATTTAGCAATAAAGGTATCACGAGGCTTGTTGGTTTCTATCTTGTTTTCTTCTTCCTTTTTCTTTTCAATATCCCTCCATTCTAGCCAGACATCTCGGTAGGTAGGAGGCAGTAACTGATGAACTGACTTCAGGTGCAAAAAGCAGAAAAAATTACATTATTACATACTTAGTAGTATCGCTAATATTTTATCTGTAAACAAACTTGAGTGTCAAAAGATAATGACAAAAAAAAGGTAGGGAGCTACTTCTAAACACAGTAACCATGAAAATAGTAATATAAACATCAACAATGCATTTTTGATTTTCAACTGGCTTGCATTCTTTATAACACAGAAAGAATAGCTTTACTTTCCAAAAAATATCCTTTCTGTATGCTGCAAAGCATACGCATGATTGTACATAAAAACAAATTAAGATATAATACAAGCAAAGAATTTAATGGGAAATACATCATTAAACTATTTTTAGAATTTAACTACAGGTTTTATAACAAAAAAGTGCAGAGGCAGATTCCAGGCCAAGAACAGTAATATTGATCAAAATCTTACTTGTCCTTTGGTTAAATGGTAGAGTGCCAAAGTAGCAGCTAGATGTTGTGCTTGCATACTATCTTCTGTTACGATTGTAGGACACATTGCCATTATATCATCTGATGATTTGACAATCCTGACCCTTAAAGAGAAATTCTTAAAGGCAATTATCTCAATTTTTGCTATCTATATAAACAGTACACCTGTTAATGTTTTTGTATAAAATAAAAGAGTGAAATTCAAATACAGAAACTAAGCAAAATAAACTTCATATTGCTCAATAATATTTTACAAACAGAAATAGCAGGTATTAGTTTGATTGAACAGCAGAATATTTTCAGTAAAGATTCCAGTAATGATCTTATGACTTCTTTTTTTCTCTTAACAAATGTCTTCATTTTTTTCAAAGCACAAGTATTTATACACATACCAATAAGGTTAGGTGCTTGGAAGAAGGACTAAATATTTGTTTGTGTGCTTGTATCTGTCTAGGATAGATCAAGATGACATTTAATGAACTACTGAGATGCAAACAGTTGTTTAACAGATACATGCTAGTCAGAGTAGCAGCCAAATTTCTCATATTCTTAGGTGGACAATATATTCGTAACTTTTACCTTGAGTAAGAAAACAAGTTCTTTTATTTCATTCCTTCAAGAAATATTACTCATTTGTAATGCTGTATCTACTTTATTTGTACATAATAATATTCTACTTCATAACACTATATTACAGAATTGTTTTCTGAAACAAATTTAAAAAATTAAAAGGTACTGCGCTGTTTTAACTACAAATTTATGGTAGCTTTAATACAAATTTCTAACTTCCACTTTATTAAAGAATCTCCAAAGGGGTTTTAGTATTCATAAACTTAGAATCTATGATTTAATATACTACTTTGAATGAGAATACCAAAAGTCAGTTGTCTAAATTTATCTCACAGGTTTGCTTCAGACTAACCTTTCATTCAGGAGTACATAAATAAAAATCTCATCTGAGCTTTACAGGATCATTCACTAGAATCTTATTTTTTTTAACTGTACCTAGTCTAACTGTCACTTTTGTTATCCAGAGTGAAATACCTCCCCGATGGACTAAAAAAGAGTTTATATATATACAATACTAATATAAATCTGGATCAACAAGACAGAATTGGCCACATTTTCTATTTTTAAATGAACCAAAATGAAGTTATAAAGGTTACAGAAAATACATACCTACATTTCCAGTATTTTCCAACAGGAATTTTTTCAAAAGAAGGATTTGGACTCTTGGGAAAATTTTTCCTGCACCAGTCAATCAAAAATTGTTTTGGAGATTTACCAGTCCAACTTCGAGCACTATAATCAAAGTTTCTTATATCTAGTGGTTCTTTCTTTTTCACTACAAGAGCAGAATGACACATTTTAAGTCTCCTAAAGTTTATTTTACAATCCTTTGAAGTCAACAACATTTTTACCTTTTATTCAAATGTATTTTACTAGACAGTAATATTTTCTGAAATATTTTGCAGAAATACTGGTATTGGTAACACATGACAGAAATGCCTGCATTTCCCATAGAAGCATCTAGCAGAAAATTAGTTACAGTATTTTTTCATCTTTGGTCACCCAATAATTTTAGAACTTTCATTAAAGTCTGGTTATTAGAAAATAATCTAACAGTTTGAAGATTTACCATTAAAATAGTTCAAAAGGATGAGACAGTGACACTAGAGACAGTAATTAGCACTGCAATTGAAAAAAGAAATAATCTAAATTTTAGACAGGACAGAATGGCAAAAATAACTTTCAATGTAATCTGCTAAAACAAATACAGATCCTTTAAAGTCAGCTTGGTCAGTGAGACAGACTGATCGTTTGCAGATGAGACCAATCTGGGCAGGAATGTTGATCTGCTGGAGGGCAGGAAGGCTCTGTAGAGGGATCTGGACAGACTGGATAAATGGGCTGAGGCCAATGGTATGAGGCTGAAAAGTGCCAAGTCCTGCCCTTGTGCCACGGCAACCCCAGGCAGGGGAAGAGTGGCTGGAAAGCTGCCCAGTGGAAAAGGACCAGGAATGAAGGTCAACAGCGGCTGAACATGAGCCAGCAGTGTGCCCGGGTGGCCAAGAAGGCCAATGGCATCCTGGCTTGGATCAGCAATAGTGTGGCCAGCAGGACCAGTGACTGGCCAACAGGACAGTGACTGTCCCCCTGTACTGGGCACTGGTGACGGTGCACCTTGAATTCCATGTTCAGTTTTAGGTCCCTTACTACAAGAAAGACATTTTGGTGCTGCAGCATGTCCAGAGAAAGGCAATAGAGCTTGTGAAGGCTCTGGAGCACAGGTCCTGTGAGGAGCTGCTGAGGGTGTTTAGCCTGGAGAAGAGGAGGCTCAGGGGAGACCTTATCACTCTCTACAAGTATCTGAAAGCAGATTGTAGCCAGGTGGGGGTCAGTCATTCCTCATTAGGAGGAATTTCTTCATGGAAAGGGTATCAAGCATTGGAACAGGCTGCCCAGGGAGGTGGTGGGGTCACCATCCCTGGAGGTGTTTAAGAAAAGACTGGACAGGGCACATAGTGCCATTGTTTAGTTGACAAGGTGGTGACTGGCCAAATTTTGGACTTGATCTCAGATGTCATTTACAACTTAAACAACTCTGAGCCCTTCTGTGGTAGTCCGCCTTCCTTTCTCATGATCAGAGCTTGCTGACTCTGCAGTGCAAAGCAACACAACCTAGAAAAACAAGAACTAATTCTGAAATCTTGTGGTACGCTTCAAGCTTGTACTACTGAACCTCTTTCAACACACCTTTGTCTTCCTTTGCAGCACCATCAGGTTTTTCAAGCAAGCTCAAATTGAAAGTGGTTTCTTGAGGCTGAGGTGAGGGAGTTTTTTTCTTTTCGCTTTCCTGTTTGTTTGAAATCTTTAGAGCTGGATTAAATACTGGATGTTCTTCAAGTACTCCCATTTCTGCCAGAAAGAAGATACAACTTACAACCACCAACTGCTTAAAGCGCTCAATTATATTAATTCGTACTGAGTACCCAAAATCAGAAATAGTAAAATGTTACTGACATTTTAGAATTTGATCCACATGGAAAGTACAGATTCAGAAAGGTCTGCATTTCACACACTGACATAAAAGAGGATTAAATAATCTTCAATTCTATCTGACTCCAAGAATTATTTGCCTAACAAACACGCAGGCCAGAAAATAAAACACAGGTAACTTGCACAGCTCTACCTTGCTGAATTCTTCTTATTTTCTCCTGTGCCGCCTTTTGGCCTTGCTTGTCTTTGTCTTGCTTGGAGAGGCTTCCTTGTTCTTTTGCTTCTGAAAGCTTGGCAGACAGATGTATATACCTCTCATTCTATTTCAAGAGAATTATTACTTACAAGTTGAATATTTTAACAAACTTTATAATAAAAAAATGGAGATTTTTTTGTCATTTGTAGCAAGCTCATACAACAGAGAAACAATTAGTTCTTATATAACTGTCAAAACCTCTCAGAATTTGAGTCACTTTCCTAATCAAACTAAGATATATTTTAAGAATTTTGCCTTTCCAGATAAATACATTCAACATTTTGAACCCAGTACAAAAAACAGAGGAAAGGAAAAACAAGTTAGAAAAGGAGAATTTTCAACCCAGTAGCCTGCAACTGTAAAAACAGATCATGTAAAAAAGTATTCAGTCTCCAATTTATAACAAATCCCCCACATACAGATGTACCAGACATTTTTGAAAGACTTTGTGAAGCATTATTCTATTCTTACTAGGTCAAACTGTTCCTCAGCTGTCTCTTTCAAAGACTCATTCTTCTCGTCATCACTCTGTTGCTCGGCGTATCGCAAAATCCATTCCTTCATACTCACTTCTTTCTCTTTCCCCACATTCATCTTCTAAGAAGAGCAATGTAAGTCAAAAGAAATTATAAAAGGAAGTAAAAACATCAATGCTCTTTTCTGCCAGGAACTAATGTTTAAGATTTTATATACAAACTAAGATACGCAACAAAAAAACATGGGGCAAACTTCTCCAACTGGGGTGAATATTTCACTATAAACATAAATAGATCTTAACACCAGAATGATTGTAATTGCTGTAAAGAATGAAATCCCTTGCATGAAATTTTTTCGATTTCTGGTTTTAAGATTCAATGACCACAGAAATCAAAACACTGCGAGTACACAGGAAAAGTTAAACCCACAAATTATGTAAAGAGTGCCACCTGTAAATAAACAGAATAAACCCATTCTAGGATACAATTAAGCTTAAGAATCATAGAATGGCTTGGGTTGGAAGTGACGTTAAAAGATCATCTAGTTTCAACCCCAGCTCATGTTGATACCGAGACTTGCCCTGACCCAGGTGCAGCACCTTGCACTAGGTCTTGTTTAAACCTCAGGAGATTCCCTGTGCTTTACCACAGAAGTGACCTGTGAAGAGCCTTCTAGACTCCACATGAAAAATACAATACCTTCAAATGACCATTCCACTGAAGTTAAAATAATGTGGGTGACAATTATTAATCATGCATTATTTCATAAGCTTTATCAGTGTTGGAAGCCAATGCAACTCCTGTATTTTAGAAAACTTTGTTCTCTCTTCTCCCAGTAAATGCAGGTGAAATCTTCAGTTTACCTTAGTTTCAGGGCCACTTGCCTTCTTTTTGTTATCTACTAAGTGAGGCGGAGGTTCATGCTGTGACACGGGAGAACGAAACTTTGCTCTTGGTTTCTGCTGCTGCTCCTCAAACTGCTGGCTAAAACCTTCAGGCAAAGCATCTTCAAAATAAAAAACTCACGTCACAGAAAATGCCAATAATTACAGAAAATCTTTTAAAGTGTGTTGGGAACCAGCTAGAAGAACACAAAACCAAACCAGCACCCCTGAAATAAAATTAGATTTTAGCATTTATATAAGCTAGTATTTGCTTGTTGGACTTTCACAGAACTCCAAGAGTAGGAACAAGTCCATACCACTTTAAACACTAAAATATCCCACAACCAGAAAGCTGAGAATCTAGGAGAAGAACGCTGTGGTGACTACCAATCTTAGTGAAACGATATATTTATATAATTACTACTATGAAGCATTCCTATGGCAGAGCAAGTCCTATTTCTTTTCTGTTAAAAACTATTCTCTGTCACCGTACTCACCATCAGGAAGATTTAAACAAAGCCAGTCAAGGGCAGAGTGAAGATCACCACCATACAAAAGTGTATTTTTCATCGCTTCTTCAATGTGCTCAGTCTTAAAAGAGAACCTTTGTAAAGCCATGTATACATCCTATAAACAGAAAAAGCCAGAAAGCATCAGGATTTCATCTATCAGTGTAATACAGGTTTATAAACTCCTATTTCCCACATAGCGGAAAGCTGGTTTTAAATAAAGGTAAACAACATGGCACTCTTTGTATCATAAGGCTAAGCAGAAAATTCTGTTTTGCGCATAAAATTTATAATATTTTCTATGTAAATAAGCATGCATAGGTATAAATAAATCTACATTCCAGCCTCTGTAGAGAACGTAATTTTTCAGTTAAAAAAAATACACCTACAATTTTCCAGCTAAGTGGAATGAAAAATATAGGAAACATAAAACATTCAGATTAAGTACTATTCCTCTATCTTTTCTGAAGACTCTTGATTTTAGTTCCTGAATCCATAAAGATGTGCTTTTCCTAATAAGCATACTTCTTGATTCCATTGACTAATCAATAATATAACTACTGAAAAGCGTGCTGTAACGGTTTGCACTGCACACAAAAGTGTAGTACAATACATGATAAAAATGACAAAAACTAAACTCTTTATTCTAAATAAGCAACGGTCGGAAAACAAAACTTTGAACTCTACCTGTAGTTTCTTTGCAGTAAGTCTTTTGGAAATCATTCCTTTGTCATCATTTTGGGTTTTATGGTCATTGATGACATCAATAATCCTTTTCTCCAAGTTACCATTTATCGTTACCTGCACACAGAGAAAATTAGTTGACACAAACAAACATTACAAGTTTTTAACACATATCAATGCTATTCATGGCTAAGGATGTAAGAAGGCAGAAATCTCTCTGCCATTCAAATTCCAATTTCTCCAGCTTTCCATAAGTGCTCTAAACATTTCTTCTGAAAGGAACACTTATTTACTTTTGCAACTTATGTGCTTTTACTTGAAATAGAAGAGTTCATTCCTTATTACAAGCAAGGGCCATTTATCTTCAAGGAAATACTCTAAGGAAATTAAAAAAAAAATTCTACTGGAAAACAAGGACTTTCTCCTCTGCTTACAAGAGCTGGTATAAAATAATGCGAACATCAAGATACAATCTGTGACACTCTCCTTCCTACATAACTTTAAAAATAATTTTAGCATATAATTCTAATATTTTTAACTGTTCTAAAGTATGAACCAAGCTTTAGTTGCTCCTAAGGTTGTTATATAAGATCTATATTCTTTCTTTGACAGGAGGAAGAATCCACATGCACAGAAGAGCCCAAACATAATTCTTAATAGTCTTGCATGCAAAATACACTTAAAAAATAGACATTCTCCTATGCCATTAATTTACCCCTATTTCTTAAAGCACACTCAAAACCCGAAATATAATCAGTCAATATCTAATACGTGAATGTAGTTTACCTGCACACATAAAACTGAAGAAGAGCTGAAGAAATACTTACTCAGCTAAAGCAGTACAATGCAAATCAAAGTTATTTTATGTAAAGAAGACATTTACCTTAAGAACAGATTTATCTAGATTTGCAGCAGCCCCGGAATCTGTTGTTGAACTAAAACTATACGTTTTCGGACCTGCAAATTGCAAATAACGATCAATTACATAAGCAGAACACAGAGAACATTGTTTACAGTAGAGCCAACACAACAGAGGTTAGTACAAGCAAGTACTACACTTTTTGCTAACAAGCTGTAATCTCAGATGGCCTGGCCATTGCAAGATTTGCTCATGGTCTGCAACACAAACTGTTCTAATACTATATGGTATCTGAGCTACTTCTGGCAAAGCTGCTTTATTGAAAACAGGCATCTCGCAGTGCTGCAGAATACTAGTTTTTCAGACTATGCCCAGAACAGTCATCCCTCAGCTCACCCAACACTGCTGAAGTGCCTCCAGCCCTGTAACTGGTCTTTCAAGAAAGAAAAAGACCCTCCAAAATAATCCCAAATCCAGATTGTATTGGTTTTGACAACATAGAAAACACACATCTACATAAGAAACTCTGGGAAAAGTGCCACCCAAACACCTGCTGTACAGGATCTGCTGATAATCTAATAACAAGACTTTTTGTAAATAACTCAACACACTGATGCCAACAAAGTTCATCTACTCAGGGACACCCCTGGAAGCAGAATCACAAACTAGTTATGGTAGGAGAAGACTTCTGGAGAACATCCAGTCCAACTCCCCTGCACACGCAGGGTCACCTAGAGCCGGTGACACAGGAACACGTCCAGGTGGGTTTGGAATGTCACCAGACAGGGAAACTCCACAACCTCTCTGACCAGCCTGTTCAGTGCTCTGTCACCCTAAATGTAAAAAAGTTCTGAAACTTTTTGTTTTAGTTTCTGGCCTGTTTTAGTTTATGGCTCCTTGTCCTGTCACTAGGCACCACCAAAAAGAGTCTGGCACCATCCTCTTGACATCTGCCTTTGAGACATATTTATGTGTATTAATACCCTCTCAGCCTTCTCTTCTTTAAACAGGCCTGGCTCCAGCAGTCTCTCCTCATACGAGAGACGCTCCAGACCTCTCATCATCTTTGTGGCTTTCGCTGGACCCTCTCCAATAGCTCCTTTTCTGTCCTGAGGAGCACAAACCGGGCACAGCGCTCCAGACACGCCCTCACCGGCGCCGAGCAAAGCGGCAGGATCACCTCTCTAGACCTTTCAGACAGGCAGGGCGGGCTGACGCCAGGCCCAACCAGCCTCGGGGTGGAGTGACTCCAGCTGCCTCTCCCGACGCCGGGAAACACCAGTCCTTCTGCTGGGCCTCTCCCTCTTCCCAGTCCGCGGGCAGCTGCAGCCGCACCCTCAGGCGCTCCCTGAGGGCGCTCCCCCTCCAGCCAAGGCACCCTCACCCGCGCACGCCCCGCACGGCACGGGCGCTCCGCGGTGCGCGGTACCTTGTTTCACACGCAGTTCCTTGGCGGCGGGCGCGGGGCGGAGCGGGGCGGCCCTGCCGGGGGGCTCTGCGGGCGCGGCCCCCTCGCGCTGCGGGGGCTGCGCGGCGGCGGCAGCGACGCGCGCGCGGGCGGTGGCGGCAGCGGCCGCATGAGCTGCGCTGCCCGCGCGCTGCTTCTTGTTGCGGCCGCCCATAGCGCGCGCCAGCCCCGCGCCCTGTGCGCCTGCGCACATCCGGGCACCGCGCGCGGCAACGCCATACTCCCATTGGTCAGTATCACTTCCCACCCACAGCGCACGCGCTCGGGCCGCGCAGCCTCCTCTTCCTCCTCCCTCGGTCTTCCGGGAGCGCAGCGTCCAGGAGAACCAGGAGCGGGCCCGAGACTGGGAGAGGGCCCGAGAGTGGGAGCGGGCCCGAGAGTGGGAGCGGGCCGTGCGTGCGGCTCCCGGCGCCCAGGGCCGGCGGGCAGCTCTGTCTGTCCTCTCTCGGGGTGCGGCGCCGGAAAGGCCCCCCGCCCCCCGCGCGGGGCACTGTGGGAACGCGGCGGGTGGCAAGCATGGCGGAGGCGTTCGGGGACGAGCTCTTCAGTGTGTTCGAGGGGGACGCGGCCGCCGCCGCCTCTGGGGCCAAGAAGGGCAAAGCGGGCGCCGTCGAGGCCGCCAGGAGAGCAGGGTGAGGGCGCAGAGAGGGGCCGCGGGTGCTCTGTCGGTGGCGGCTCGGGTCGTAGCACTGGGCCTGGCTTGTGCCGGCCGGGTGTGAGCTGCTGAACCCCCCCGGCACCGGGAGTCGGTGCAGCCTGAAGGAACCCAACCTCGATAAGTGTCTGAAGGGCGGGTGCCAAGAGGATGGAGCCAGGCTCTTCTTGGTGGTGCCGAGCAATAGGAAAAGAGGCAGCGGGCAGAAACTGATGCACAGGAATTTTCATCTGAACATGAGGGAGAACTACTTTATTGTGTGGATGACCAAGCACTGGAACAGGTTGCCTAGAGAAGTGACGGAGTCTCCCTCACAGGAGATATTCCAAAACTGTCTGGATGCAGTCCTGTGCCATGTGCTCTGGGATGACCCTGCTTGATCAGGGAGGTTGGACCACTGTGGTGCCTTCCAACCTGACCTGTTATGTAATTCTGTGACCTGCTTTCCCAAAATTTCTGGCCCTAAAGCTGTAGTCAGCCCTGGCTCAGTGGAAATTGGGAAGTATTGGGACCTGCTAGGCAGCTTATCTGGGAAGTTGCCTGAAATCCCACAGTTCTTTTTGTGAATGGAATTCCCCCTGGATTGTTCCCTGAAAGCAATGTCATCGCAGTCACCGTTGGGACAGCTGTTTTCTTTCCTGAAAATAAATAAATTAAAGGTGCAAAGTTTAAATTTTTTGTCTGTTTATGTTGCAGAAAAGGATTGGAAGAAAAACCTTCAGTACCAGCAACAGGGAAGCCGAAAAGGGATGTTGAGGTTGATAGCACAGAAGCTGGTTTTTTGGGAAAGAAGCCAAAATTGGAAGATGTATCAGAAGATGTTAAGTAAGTGCCCAGCTTAATGTATAAAGTAGTTCCAGCAAGCCATACTGGTTAGCCATTGCTGATTGTGAACAGTCACTATAAAGTAGTTTTGCACTGTTTTTGAATGAAGCTGAATTTTTGTATGAAGATTTGCATTTCCATTGTCTGTTTTAAGTGAGACTGCTAGTGCAGTCTCAGCAGTGATGAGCACTGGATGTGTTTGAAACAAAAGTGCAAGCATTCATGTATTTAGTCATGTATTTAGTATTTATCACATATGTAAGTACAGAGTGTTATGTGTTTGTGGGTACTCATATGAATTGAGAGTTCTTGGTCAAAGCCATTGTGTTGATTCCACACACAGCAAGAGATGAGCAGCCAAGTACATGGGAGGAGGCAGGCTTGGTTTGCTGTGTACCATGCCATTGAAAAACATAATTGGCTTGGGATACTCTGGGGTAATTAGAGTAGTTTGACCAGAGAGACAGAAACAAGAGTTTTGAGGCATGTAAGGTGATAACTGCAGTAAATGTTTGGAATCTTGATTATGGGTATGCATTTAAATTTGAGCATAAATGGCGGGTGTTTGACATGGATAGAGGGGTGTACTTGTACATGTCAGCAGCTAGGGAGATGAGGCAGCTGAAGGGAAGCCAGAATGCCGTTTTTGTGCTGTAGGATCTGCATTATCTATCCCTTTTTTCTTTCTAGAACTTCATGACTGGTATTATGAGGTGTTTTGAGAATAGTTGGAAGGGGCAGTGCAGGCACTTTTTCATCTTATTGTATCTTAAGAGGTTCTTGGAAACTCAGAAAATTTGGAGGGTTCATGGGAAAAAAACTCATCCAGACCTGCCAAATGCGGGTGTGCACTTCCTGTTCAAGGTGCAGAAAACTGTACTACAGAAATATAACATGTGTTTGCTGTGCTCTTATGCTCTTTTCTGGGTGATGTGTTACTGACTTCTGTCAGGCAGAATTCTGGTCTGGATTATCAATTGGTCTTGCATATTAATTTTTCCTAAGTTGAAAGTAAGATTTTCTGAGAGAAGGTCATGAGAAGACTTCTTAGAGCACTGTGAAGAAAGGGTATAGAAGCAAGAGAAAACCAGAGCCAGCATTTTAAGTCAATTTCTGAGTGGTATCAGCAGAATGTGTGTTCGCCCGCAGTAGCTTATAAAATCATAAGGAATAAACAGTTTCATGCAGTGAGACTGTATTCCTTCCTTGTGGCCATGAAAGAAGGAACTGGTAAAGAAACTGGGCCTTGTCTTCAGGCATCTGCTTAGGTTGATCCAGGCTGCTGTTATTCCGTGTCATGACTAGCAGCAGGAATACAGGTCTTGAATTTTGCTTTGTTGTGTATTGGAAAAAGCCCCCATTTAATCATAAAACTTTATGCAAACAAATGAGATCCAAGTGCTGTTTTGTGGTGAAAGATTTAAAGCAGCAGCTAAAGTAGAGTTATGTAGAGCAAAATCTTAACTTACAGGTATTAGTCCTAGTAGTAGTCTCTGCCGACTGTGCACGTCAAGACTGTGCGTATTTTCTTCGTGTCACAGTTAAAGTAGAGGTGAAATTCAACATGTTAGTGTTTATAAAGATAGAAGAATTTTTGGATGCTTTTCAGTGATCCTAACTCATGTGTTTTTAGTCTGGCAGACCTGATGCCTCAAGTAAAGGTACAAGCTGTGGAAACTGTTGAAGGTTGCACGCATGAGGTAAGTGCAGTGAAAATGCATATGGAAAATATAGGCTTGTTTCATATAATTGTATTTATTACTGCTGGGTTAATAGTATTGTTTGTTTCACTTTTAATTATTGTATCATAGAATTGCAAATCATTTAGGTTGAAAAAGACTTTTAACATCATCCTTAAGACCTTTGAGTGCATTAGCCCAGCACTGCCAATTCCATCACTAAAGCAGGTTCGCTAGGGTCATATCTCCATGTCTTTAAATACTCCCAGGTCTGGTGACTCAGCCACTTCCCTGGGCAGCCTGTTGCAATGCTTGACAACCCTTCCTGTGGAGAAATTTCTTCTGATATCCTGTGTATGTCCAGTTTTCCCTGGCGCAGCTTGAGGCCATTTTGTATTGTCCTGTCACTTGTTACCTCTGAGGAGAAACTGACCGAAACCTGACGGTGCCTGTAGCCCTGCCTGGAGATGTGACCCAGGGGCAGGACCCAGCACTGGGCCTTGTTGAACCTCATACTATTGGCCTCAGCCCATTGATCCAGCCAGTCCAGATCCCTCTGCAGAATCCTCCTATACTTCAGCAGATATATTATTTTATATTAAATTTATGCTTGTAAAGAGTTTGAAGTCTGTGTCTGACATGAAGCATTCAGAAAATGCACTTGAAAAATTAGTAGGATATCTTACCAGAAGAAGTTTGAATCATACTTGTAATGTAATTGAGTGATTGTGAAAGACTTGATCATAATGTAGATAGGTTTCCATATCTGAAAGCTACCAAGAACATTCTGAGCACTGTTGTTGAGGAGGAAAACCTACTAATTGTTAAAATAGGACTGTGTTCATATTGTGATCTATGTGTGCAGCAGTGCATTCTCTATTATGCCATATTCTGCTATTCTTGTTAAAGAATGAAAGGCTTTCTTGTAAAGCTGATTACTGTTGAAAATTACATATTGGCAAAAAGAAAAAAAGAGTTTTCTTTTGTGAAAACAAAATTTTGGAAATTATCCATTTTCAAATTGTATTGATAGACATCATTATGGCTGGGCTTCGCGAACAAAGATTTGGGAAGGCTCTATCCACATTTGATACAGGCACGCTGGTGGCTTATGAGGCCAATACGTGACAGACATATCCGATTGCAAAAGGCACAGCAGAAAGACTCCTTAGATGGTGTATTCTGCAATACACGGTTCTTTCTGCGCTGCCTTTTTTCCTCGAGAGTGATCCTGCGTGTGTTCTCGAAGGAGACAGCTGCGTTATAGATGGTGTGTCTCCAGGCCTCCCGATTGGAGGCCAGAGTAGACCAGTTATGGTGATCAATATATAGACCAAGGCTGAGATGTTGTTTCAGGGAGTCCTTGTACATTGATAGACATAATTACACATCTGAATGTGAAAAATGGGAAATATTAATGCCCAGGTGTCTGTACAATTATTGTTATCTTGAGTTGTCTCATAGAGGTTTGCCTTGAGTTAGTAACTGAACAGAGCTTAAGTATTTAGAATGAATACATGTGGAATATTGGCTGGGAACAGGAACATTACCTGTTTAAATAACAGTGTTGTATGGAAAAGGAATATAATCAGTGTGAGCTGAGTAATTGCTTCTCACTACCACTGGCTGAAAGCCATGATTGTGTCTTGTCCTGAAGAGCTGATGTTCCAAGGTAGGTGAAGCAGTAATATTTCACACAAGACAGCAGGGGTATCAGCAAAGTGAGAGAAGGAGCATTGTTGGGGCAGGAGAATAGAGAGATTAATTGAAAAACTCTTAAGAGGAAGGAAGGAACCTTTGACACATGAGCTCACAGAAACAGGATAATAGCAATTCAAGTTAGTTTTCGTACACTTGACGTTGCCAGACATCACTGCAGTGGACACAGAATTCTGCAACTGTTTTTATTTTAAATGTATTTTATAGGTTGCACTTCCAGCATATGAAGAATTCACAGGTCTGAAGCCACGAACTGGAAAAGCTGCAAAAGTATGT